TTACACTGATAAAAACTGTATTTGGACTTCCATAATTATACAAGATATCTGTAAGTTAACAAACAAATCCATTTTAAAATTATTAAATTAAAATTACATATACTTTTTACTCTTGTCATTAATTTTACATAATTTTAGAAATGTATTAACAGTATTAAACTTGAATTTAACAGTTTAATCTATTAAATAAACATTAAATATCTGTAGAAAAAAATTGATTTGCCAATTTATTTTAATCTTTTCATGTGGAGACACACCAAAGTGTGTGGTGCACACACCGGTCCACCAAACACACAACTTTATTAACACTGTAGAATCCACATACATTCACTGGATGGTTGTTGCTGATCAATACCAACCAATCACTGACCACTTTACCAACTGCTGGCTGAATCTGAGACGAACGAGAGAGACAGACACAGATTCTCTGGCAGACTGCGAGCAACCAGAGACAATGAGACCGAATGAAACCATGTTCTAAATGACTCTGTGTTATTGAGCCTCTCTCTGTCACTGTGCAGGCGCTGAATGATGGGAACTTCCACAGACAAACCCATTCACTCACTAACTCTCAGTCTGAACTGTCAGAGACTGATCTGATTGCATCTCAGGGTGAGAAACAGCAGAAGGGACACATTGGGGATGGATGAGAGGAGAAGGAGGAGGTAAAATGTGGAGGACTCTTCAGGTTCTGCTGATGTGGCAAACTGCAGCTCTCTGGTAATTTATATTGCTTTCACTTCTCTCTTCAAGGTTCCCACGTAGCCTGGAAAACCTGGAAACTGATTAAAATATCCTGGAAAATTGTGATTGCATTTTAGCCCCTCACTCAGATCAACCTGGGTTCGTATTTAGTTTGAAACTAACAGAATGAACTTACAGCAATCTTTTTGGTGTTTTTTTTGTGTCTTTTTGGAGTCGTCAATGTTACAGTCAGAGGAAGTCAGTCGTCAGTTCGGAGACTGAAGCTGAAAAATCTGGTAAAAATTAGTGATGTCACAAGAACCAATGCTTCGGTACCAAGTTGAAACCAACATTTAGAAACTCAAATGACAAACCCAATTCACAGCGAGGAGTGTGAACCTTCCTGATAATTTTTACTGCCAACAGCTTTGACAGCTTTTGGACTCTGTGTTGTGATGGGTGTCGGGTGTTTGTAGACGTTAGTGGACTCCATTTATAAGCTAACGTTACCACATACATTTTGCAGACTTATGAATATTATAGTAATATATAGGGAGCTGTAAACTGGTGTTATGATTTTTTTAGAATTCTTACCTTTAGCAGTTTGTTTGAGAAATTCTTGTGCGTCCGGTAGAAACTATAATTTAATGTGATATATTATTTACATAATTTCTACTTTCCCTAAAACATACTGGGCATTAAATATTATCAATGAATAATAATATACTAATTACAACCCGGAGAATCAAATAATGAACTTACAAACAATATCAATAAATGCAGCTGCAAATCATCACATATCAAAATCACGTTGATAGCATTAACGATGTCTAATTACAGACTGAGATTAGACTGAACATGCAGAATATAAACCATGGTATACGTGGACAGTGCGTCAATGTCTGCAAACATTGAAACATCAAAAGCTGACTGACAGTGGACGTCTCTTCAGATCACGGTTCAGAGGACGCGACGTCTTGTTTCCTCGATTCCTCTCGTCCTTATCTTCAGTGGGAGGGGCTCAGACGTGAGCAGGTTGATGATACGCCTCGAAACCGTTAGTGAACATCAACGAAGATTCACTGAGATGATTCTTCCTGCAGGAATCCAGACGCCAGGACGGTATGGCCACTACGCTTCAATCAATGACAGAAACAGCAAAGTCACGTGGCGTGGGTTGCTATGGAAACACGTGAGCTGCGGTGCGTCCTGAGGGATCTATCTGTTCAATCAGCACCCAGTCCGATCAATTACTCCACATTCTTATTACAGGTACACATCCTTACTCTTACTTCTCTTATAATTATTGAAGTGACGGTCAGTGTTACTGTTACATCAGGAATGAAACCACTTCACTTTGTTGTTAGCGTCTTTGGTCGAACAGAATCAATGAAGACTGCTAGCAGCTAACTAGCTAACAGCACATACACAGTTACCCACAATCCACCTTTCATAAAGGGGAAGGGTGCAGTGAGGCAGTGGGTGGAGGAAGTATTCAGGTCCATTCAGTAAAAGTACTCATACCAACCCCACTGACAATACTGCAGTACAAATACTGCGTTATAAACCTTATATAGCCTTATAAAGTATCACAGTAACATTTACTAAGCTAAAGTCAGCGTTAGCTAGCTAGCTCACCCGTCAATATTTTCTCGTCTTTATTTGCATATTTGTTGTTGAGCTAATCCAAACTAATGAACTTATAATGGCCCCTTTAATATTGTGATATTTGGATTATGTTTCTGACCACATTGTTAACAGGTAATTAGTAACTATTAGATTACATTAGATTACAGTAACCCTCCCAACCCTGCATTACGCTTCATTATGACTATTATGTTTTTACACATTGGCTGTTCTGCACTGAACCTTTTGTCTCTTTTGTGCTTTTCTCTGTCAGCAGACGTCCGTCGGATTATCTTCCCGTTCTGACAAAAAAGGGAGCCCAGTAATGACAAATATTTCAATATTTGAACGTCTAATTTGAGATAAGCCCGACCTCGTGTTGAGGCAATTAAAAAGCTTGAATGGAAACGAACAGTTTATCTTAACGAGGCATCGAGGTGCTGCTGAAAAGTGACAAAGCTGCAGGAGTGAAAGGCAACATCATCAGCAGAGGAGGAAGAAAAAAGCGGACAGTAACCGCCTGTGTGTACAGAGAGGAGTTATTCTCTGTGGAGGGTTATTTGGCGTCTTTACACTTGATGAGGTCCTCGCTGCTATCAGCCGACAGATAGCAGGTGTCAATGGAAACCAATTTAAGGCGTCCAGAGCAAAGCAAGTTATTAACCCGCCTGCCAGAGAACAGCGCCCCACTCTGCCTCCCTCTCTCCGCTGTTTTAGAAAGAGCGAGAGAGAAGCAGATTAGTCGTTTGACATTTTTCCTTTTTAAATGCTGGAGTTAAAGAAGAGCTGAAGGCAGGAGACGGATACAGCGGGAGGGACACAGAGGACGGACGTCCTTCAGGTGGGATTGAACATCAGGATGTTATAAGCTCAAACACAAAAATTCAGAAATACACTGAAAGGACACAAGTCTGGTTTATCGGCTCCAACAATGAGTATATTTCAGGTATTATTAATGATATTTCCAAAATAATAAGTTGTTAATTCATCCTGCACTTTTCAACATGTCCACACCAGAGTTATATTGTGTATTTTTCAGTTTTATTGAGTTTTAATTTTTGTTGTAAATTCCCTTTCAGCTAGTTTCCAGAGAAAACATTTTTTAAACTTTTTACTGGGGAACTATTAAAATACAGCAGAACAACCTTCAAACACGTTAAATAAATGTTTGTTTCACATAAGACTTCATTTAGAGCCAAACAAACAATATTTCAAACTCAATCAGTCGTTAAATGTCCGAACTATAACAGTAATAAACAGTCTCACAACATCCCAAAAACCTACAAAACCCAAAGCACATGAACACAGCACGTAGTTTCCACACTGCACTCTCTTTGTTATCAACATTAATATTGACAGATTTTCCCGCTGTGCAATATGAAGCAAACCCAACGCCTGTACAAGCCTTTAAATCTTCCAACAAAACCACAGCATCAGCCGACCCCGTTTCATCCCAAACGCTCCATTTTCTGTGGTTGTTATTAACATGAATATCGACAGATTCTCCCAGCGAGGTGCATCCAGCTCATTCATCCTCCCATCCTCCCAGTGCACACATCATCTGTTTTGGGCTCCTGGGCGATACATCACTGTGGCGGGGCAGAGAAAAGCTCTTTAAGTTGCATAAACACAATGTCGGCCGGGCGCCCACTGGCTGCTGGTGATGGATGAGGACCGCACACAGGAAGCAAAGAGAGCGGCTCTTCCAGGAGCTGAGGCCGATGGAGAGGCCGCTGTGGTTGCTGCTAACGTGGGACGTTGTTAGCGTGAGGAAGTCCAAGCTGAACGGCAGAGGTGGTCATTAGTGGGTTTACAGCCCGGAAGCTGAATATGACGCTAACAACAGTGAGTTTTTAACTGGTTATAAACAGTCTCAGTTTAATACCGATGCCTCTATATGAGCTACAAAAACAGAACAAAGTTTACAGGTTTTCTGTTTATTTTACTGATTCTTTCTGTATTTCAAATACATGGAAATGATAAAATGTGAATTTACAAGTCTAATGTAAACCGTAAATGATCATAATATTACAGCTTATTTAAATCTATAATTGATTTGCTGTTTATTTAATGAATTAAACTGTTAAATTCAAGTTTGATACATTTCTAAAATTATGTAAAATTAGTGACAATTAACAGTGAAACAGTATTTGTTGTGTAACTTTACATGGATTTGTTTGTTAACTGACAGATATCTTGTATAATTATAGAAGTTTTCACAAAGAAAACACTGAAAAATGTTCAGTGTATCAGCGTGTATAGCATTGTTAAACTGTCCAAATACAGTTTTTATCAGTGTAAACCTTCCGTTTGGGGGACGACCCGCTCTGCCTCTGAGCCACAGCCGCCCCAAATGTAAGCCTGATTATTTGTATTACAGCAGTGTTCACCTGTATTTATAGCTCATTGCACTGATTTTACTGTGTAAATATCCTTACTTAAACATTAAACTGACAAAAATGACGTATGATGATGATGTAAAATTAAAGCTAAAAATTTTATTTTTATGTCGCCAAGGTCTTGCTCATGGTGGTACTGTTGGGTCTCTGTAAATAATGTTATAAAGAGTTCGGTCTAGACCTGCTCTATTTGAAAAGTGTCCTGAGATAACTTCTGTTGTGAATTGGCGCTATATATAATAATATAAAATTGAATTGAATTGAGGCAGTTATTTTTTTATTTTACTGTATTTTTTGGTCCAACTGCTGTAATATTACCTCTTTTTTGTATTGATTCATTTTATTTTGTTTTTCTTTATCTTTTATGTTATTGTATTAATTAGATTATTTTTTTATCTGTGTAGCATGGAGAACCTACAAACTCTAGTTATACAACCTTGTGTTGTATAATCATGAATACATTTCCTTGATTCCTTGGAAAAAAGAGCCACATAAAAGGTTTTAAAACAAATAGAATTATAGTGTTTAAATAAGAATTCATACTGTGGGTGAGGTAAAAATATAGTAAAAGTCCTCTGTGGCTCTTTACAGTTGTGGTGTTCCTCAAGGCTTCGTTCTCGGCCCACTGTTGTTTTCATTATCATTCATATGACGTCTAATCCACAGGACATGGACAAAGAACAGATTTAGCCTTTTATTTGGAGGACTTGTTGTTGGAAAAAGCAGTAAAACCGCAGTTTGTGACTGGCTGTATAAACACTGAGTTTCAGGTAGTTAAGACGAAGTTGCCACTCATTACGTTCTGCAGCGTAAACCAGAAAACAAGAACAACAGACCCCATTACACAATGTGTCACATGTAAAACATTTTGTAATTTATTTGTTATTTCCTGTCAAAACTGAAGTTTAATTTTCGAAAGGACACTGTCCACATAATGAGCG